TATATTACACCGGCTTGTGAACAAGCATGGTGCCAACGCCACAACAATATTAACAATAACAATAAAAGGGAATAGGTGGACTGGGGTACAGAGCAAAGTGGAAAGAGGGTGAAACAGTTAATTACGCAAAAATGGAAGATAACTGTATCATATCAGTGTGGCAAACTGTGACTAATGCGTCTACTTTTATCAGCATCTATTTAATCTGTATCTTGCGCTTCTTGACCCGTTTCTTTCATTTTATGTTTCAAGTGGGCAACTGAGTGACTACACAGGCACCTCGTCTTCTCTATTGTAGTATCGTTTATCAGTGCAATAAGACAGAATCTGCTTATGCACTTATTTCTGTGTGATTTCAGCAGTTTTACCCTTAATCCCTCATCGGGCCGTTTCTTAAATCACCACAGATGTGCTGTTCCTGTTCGAACTGGAATACTGGGATGTTCCCAGACGTGCTTCGCTCTCTCCAGCTGTGCACGCGTCTGGCTTGAATCTACCAGTGGCTCCTGGTGTCACCGGTTCCTCACACATCCCACTTGAGCACCAATCCGCATCGGGCATAAGTGGGCGTAGTATCGCCATCTCAACCTCGCCCCCGAGCACTTGTTCCCACATCGGGAGCATGCTTTCCGTCTCTACCTTGACCAGCACGAGCACTTTGGTCGGTGGTGCCGGTGGTGCTAATCCAGTGGTCGGTTTTGGTGAAGGCTCGTGTGTTATGACAGAAACGGAGGCATCAACCATGAGTGTCACTTCTGGTATACCGACTGCTGGGGCAGCAGTGGCTGCAGCTAGTGCCGCCCTATTGGGTGCAATATCGGCATCGCCGAAGCAACGGATCACTTTTGTGTTCACTTCTCAGGAGGACAAAGCTGACTGGATGGCTGCTCTAGTCTATTTGCAACTGTCTCGGTCAGTTTTCTTTTGAAATTTCTTTTCCACATGATTGGTCCTAAGTCTAATGATTCGAATACTATTTAGTTCTCAACACTTAACAGATTATTTTATTCAATATTACGGAGCAATACGATAAAGTATTCTGTAAAACGATTGAAATGGTAATTTTTCTCTTCTATCGTATTTTTCAGGCTTTTTACACGTTATTTACGTGATTTGCCAAGACAGGAGATTCCTCTCGTTTTACCTCCACCCAACCTGTACCAGTAAGTTACTGTCAATCTTGTGCAGCACTGAATTCGGTTGTATGCATCTGTTGGGTTTTTACTGGCAAATATCTGCTTCCTTTTCAACGAAGATTGTCCGTAAAATCAAAATAATCGTAAAATAGACTTTCCTAGTGATCCTCACTCATGTTCTAGACACACATAGTTACACCCATCCCCTCTTATTTTTATCCTAAAGTGTAGCATTATGCATAAATGACCGCGAAATGTGACTAACGCGGATTGTAAACCAATGGATAAATGATCTTTTTTCGTTGCGAAAGCATCCTTTTTTATTGAATTGAACTTAGTCCGCAATGAGGTTTTGTTGTTTCATTTTGTACTACTCTTCGAAATCGTCCATGATCCAATGGTATTTTCAGTTCAGTGATAGAGATAAAAACAAAGTGAACTCCGTATTTTTGTGTTCCGCTAATGAAGCAGAATTGTAATCAATGTGAATTCACTGAATGATTTCAAGGCTGACCATCTTCTTTTGGAGTCATGTTTCATAAGTGGCCTTCATCGCCCGAATTCTGATGATTAACTAGCATCGCTTATCCCGTGCTCCCAATTTGGGTTGCCGTCACTGTGCGTAGGACTTACCTTGCTGCATATATGCATGCTGACATGCATCCAAATCTGATCACACTCTCTCACGGATTCCAACGGGAAATATCACATAACACATCATTGGCATAATGACATAGAACTTTATCGGCGGCAGTACTGTGAATTCTGGTACACCTAGCTTCACAAAAACATTTCCTAAAAATGCAACCGACTATCTCTGTTGATGGATATCCGAGCGCGCACATTCCATACTGGCGATTGTCCTTTTCTTGACCCTCTCCATCACAGACACATTGATCGCCAATTCCCTCTTCGTCTCACGTTACCTTTTTTCACCGGGTGAATTTGCCTGAATGGAGACGTTTTTATCCGAAACACCAAGTTTTAGTGATCGCAACGCTTCGTTTTCATTGATGAAGTAATCTTTGCTCCACTGCAATGGGCTCTTTATTGTCTATTTGTAAATAGAAGTACTCAGATAAGTGTATTTCACAATGAAGCACAGGAGGATTTTTTGAGGGAGCAAAATTGTCATCATTTCTTAAAACTGGAAGATTTGCAAGGTGTCCGTTTCCTCCGCATGAGGATCGTTTCAGATATGAAAAACACTTTTTCCTGGTGTTTCATTTAACTCCTTGTTTGCTGGATACGCGAAAAAATGCACTATGTGATTACTTCTTCCGGTTCGCACAGCAGATGTTTTCCTCACATTGAGCTGGTCCTGTTGAACTATCTCGGTTGGACAACAATGAAAATATACACCTGGTTTCCTCTGTTGCCACCACTTGCAATTTTCTCGCTTCTGCAGTTACGACCATATCTGCTCAATCACTCCTTTCGATTTCATAGGACAAAATCGATCTGAGTCCGAACCAAACGTTTTATGATTTAGTTTGGGATTGTTACGTTTCGGTATCGAATTTGACATGATCCGTTAGCGTTTTATCAAATACTTAATTTTACTAACAATTTTCATAGAGGACCCATTGGTTACATATTGTGTTTTCGATATTGCAGAATAATTCAGTGTATTAGAAAACAAGAAGAGCTTGTGAATAACACAACATTGTTGAATAGAATTTATGTATCGCTCAACGTTTCGATCACCTCGAGTGGTCTTCATCAGGAGTATGCAAATCGATAAGTAAGCAGAATCAATGTGACAACGGAACTAAGGCCAAATACAGGTCATTGTAAAAGGTCAACGTGTCACTCAGTGGTGTGAAGCAGCGTATGTACGTGTGCATATGTGTGTGTGAGGCAACTGTGAGCATGCTTAGGATCGACTTTCGCTGGGCATGCATCTGCCTTTAGTCGCGTCCTGTAGGCGTAGTTATACACTTGGCAAGGTTTGAATAACATAACGAGCAAACGCTTTAATCGCATTCGTGCAGAGTGTGGTAGTCATATTACACAAAACCGATCTAGTGTTTGATTGTCCCAACTCGTAAGTTCTTCAGTAATATGAGAAAATATGTTTCAAATTGCATATAACGTTTATGCTGAGGTCAAATGAATGTCACTCGTGCCCTGGTTTGTTTTACTGATTTACTAGTTTTAATAGATGTCTCAAGAGGTGCGTGTGTTGTAAATGCATAAAGCAACCCTGTTTGCGGTGGTCGAACTGTACCCTACGACATAATTTCAGTATTCTTATCAAAAAGCGCCGGTAGCTCAATCAGTTGAATTGCAATTTGTTCGTGTACCAATTAAATGCCCGCATTCGTCTTTCAAGCACAGTCCTCCTCGAACCGTTTTCCATGATGATACAATGAAATCTTGTGGGGGAATGATTTCGCCTGTTTTTTATTGTTGTTCGGATTTCATTCAAGAGCTTCTCTGTTCTCCCTGAATTGTCCTGTCAGATTTTCCACACCGGACTCGATAACCAACATCATCTTTGAATCCTCAGTTCGGGACAGTAGTGTGGAAATCCCGGTCATACGGGCCGCGACGAAGGTCAAATTGATTGAACGCATGACATATCACGCATATTTTGACAGCAAAACAGTCAGCGTTTTCCTAATGGTAAGTGGGCCTCTATGTCTCGTTATTCTCCAACTTTTTTTTCCGAAAGGTATGCTGGTTAGTCTTTGACCTTGTGACACTGGGAAGCCAGTTGTCCAACTGATGCCTAATAGGCGTTGCGTTTCCCAGTTAGCGCTGGTCATTCTGTGCTTCCACATTCGATGCAATAAATAATCATTTATTGGCCCAACCATTGCTTACCGTTTCGTTTTAAAGGGAATTCAATTTCAGTAATGACCCTAAGACAAACAGAGAGCCTCGTTTCTAAACAATTCTCACATTGATCAAAAGCTGGAATCCAGGTTACTGTGTTCAAATTTCGCACTGAAAGCACGCCAACGAACGCTGCGGAATCGCATTATGTGCCCCGTGAATTTTTAAGCAAATTGATTTGTGTTATTATTGGTACGTTAAGCTTTTCCTAACTTGGGTTCCTTTTGACGGGTTTTTCCACACTAATATGGCAACGATTGATAAGAATAACCTCTGTTTATCGGTTTAAAATATGACGCTGTGTGGTTCAGTACAGCATTCTGCGAACTAAGATACCTAGTTTTGCCCAAACATTAAGTCACCTAAACCATCTCAACACAATCATCGAAAGACTAGGTCTCAGTCTATTTCATTCAAATGCACTTGAGCCCATAGGCCTGCGCGATATCAGTTCGATTTCTCGCCGCTGAATCTAAAGGACAATATAAAATAAAAATAGTGAAATTGGTATCGGAATGCAAACAGCATATAGAATTTTCATGTGAATACATTGATTACAAGATGTTAGCCAATAGTTGCCCGGTATACGTGGCATTACACTTACTGGTTCTGCTCACTTTTGAGCCCTGAGCAACAAGACGCTAAGTTCAAAGTATTATTGTGCGAATAACTTACCAGCTCTTCTCGTCCCTTAGGCTGGTGTTGTGGTTGAAAGACAGCGATACGTACCATCCCCTGCGTAAAAATGTCACATGATACGGTCTTTCATTGCCGTGCGTTTGTAACGCCCACCGAAGCACATGGACAACTTGGTACAAACCAATGCGTGGTCGGATTCAAGGGTAGTGCTTCAGCATGATCAGCAGTTTCGTGCGCAACCGCACCATGTATGTTCATCTCTTACGCGAAAACAGCCGTTTCCCGAGCGACAGGAATCTAGTTCGAAATTCTCCCCCCGAATGCGCCCCAGTCGAAGTCAGTTGGCCTACTCGAGCGTTCATATCTCTCGCGAAAATCATGATATCAGCCGGATTCACTTTACGCAAGAGGCCGTGTAGACTATGGTATAATGAATCTTTGATTGCATCTGGGATGCAGTTCGTTTAGGCGTACGCCGACATGACGAGTGTCGGAGTGACGGCTGTTTACTATACACGAAACTTCACAGATTAGTTTGATGGGGACACCCATCGGATAATGGTGCTGGAATTTTGATTGTGAGTTTCTTGAATATAACGCACATCAATATGTACCAGAGTTCGCACATTACATGTGGCTAGTTTATAATGGCATGACGGTCGAGTGATGCTTTTATTTGGGAATGGGGGATTCGGCCAGACTTCGATGGTGGTCGAGGTGGGGCACGAGAGAACAGCGAAAGAATTTCCATCTGAGGCACTAATGTGAGGGTGGTCAACTGAAGACCCCGATAGATTTAGAAATGTGCGAGGGGGATAATGTGAGATGGGAAACAAATTGGGAATTTGGGAGATGAGCCCGATTCAGCAACGACGGAGTTAATGAGAATAGTTGTGAGGACGTTGAGTGCCATTTCGGTGAGGCTGATACACAGTACAGTCTCAGGGTGAAAAAATGAGAGCTATTCCATTTTATGTACTTTTTATATCTTTTCTGGCTCCCGCTCATCCTTGTTCCTACCATCTCCATACATTAAAGTGTATAATCAAAATTTTCTTTTTATAATCGTGTTGTTCGTCACTCCCCTACAGGTATGTAAACCTAATTTTGGTATCTGACATTGTGATATATTTCTGGGTTTAGATTAGTACATAGACGGACACTTCATACCTGTGCACGGATGCAGTCCTTGCTCAGATGAATTCTTTCATTCAATTTATACCACCTTATTTGTATATGATGCTGGCCTTTGCTGTTTCGCATCATGGGCGGAACGGACAAACCAGGAATTCGGGAAACTGTAGTCACAAGCGTAACCAATACTTCTCCTATGTCATGTGGATCACTGCTAATTGTGGCAATAGGGATCTCCCCCGCACGCCGGTCCCTGTTTTGTATTACTAATTTGCATCGAAAAGATCAAGTCCATTGGACTTGAGCGCCTTTTTACAGCGATCTGTTTACGTCATGTAACCATCGAGGTTTGCGGAGTTTTAAAACGAAAGTGTAGCAATGTCCAAATTACTGTCTGCTGACAATAAAAGGTTACATGAACATGCGGATCGAGTGTCACTTTGACGCTTCGTTGCAAGCACTCTTTTCCAGCCGCCGTTGTTCGAAATTGCAACCATGTTTTGTTTTGGAAGATATAACCGAATTTCCCTTTCTTTGTAACTGTGTTTTAATCATTCATATAATCGATCGCTGTAGAAAAGAATGTTTATCACATAAGTTGGTTCGGTGGTACGGGCGTGTTTCGAATAGTAAGAGGAGAGAATAATTGAACTGACGATAAAGGTTCTCTTCCAGGCGGCTCTGGTAACTTAAGTGCAAGACATCCTTCTCAATTGAACAACAATGAGTAACTTCTGTTTTATTAATTTGACCGAAATTATGGAGTCAGCGGGCTGACTCACAACGAATTGGGACGTCTATACATTTATGTAACCGAAGCACCCGTGTGTGAGCTTTGTTTGCTCGCTGCCAGGCTGGCTGTCGTTTGGTTGTTCGGGTTTGTCGCTATTCCCCATGCATCTAATGTCAAACGTTTCTTTATGACACCCCTTAGCCTGCACTAATAAACCAAAAGACAAGTCACCAGGACAGCCTACTCCGGCATGCCAACCGTAACCCAAAGGCTTTGTGGATGTACCTCGGACTGATCAGCATACGAGCACGAGTTTTCTACTAATAGTTAGTACGTGTAGAGTCATCAACTACTAAAAATTACGCTACCAAAGCTATATTTGATAAGGTGCGTGGGTTTGAAAATTCCATGGATAATGTTATGTGGTGTGTTTTGATTTCGTTTGCCGTTTGAAGAGTGCTCTTCGTAATGCTAATTCGTCCAATTTCCCTAAAGGGTTCGAAAGCAAGTGTTTGGATAGTTTGTACACTCGTCTGTTATCCATTTTTCATGCTAGTTGTTGTTTCCAGTTTGCAACAGTTTCCATTCCCAGTCCTCCTCCGAAACGGGGGTATGTTGACCGTCTCGCTTCTATACTCACCAAGTGTCGGGACGTGCTTTGGAAAATTGTGACTGTCTTATCTGCCTGGTTTATTTATGGAACTTATTCGGGATGCATATTCAGCCTGCCATTATATTCATGTATTCTTTCTGTTGATCAGCTACGTGTCTCATCACATTTTTCTGCTATTATTGGACTGAAATGTATTTTTGTGGTGAGAGTACCTTCGGACGAATGGCATCTGTAAGTTTCTTCCCAGTTCATGACCGACATTCAAAATTCATCTTTTTTGTTGTCCGGTTTTATTATACTGCTCACTTCGGTCAAGACCTATCGGCGGTACATGACCGCGTCCGAATTGTTAGAACTGCTGATCGAACGATTCAATGTGCCCGAGCCAGATTTCAACAAAGCGGCAGAGAATGCATGCTCCATCGGTGAGGCGGAGAGTCCGATCACCGTTGCCGTCCGGTTGGAAAAGCGTTTCCGATCAGTGTACAAACGTCGTGTGCAGTATCGGTAGGTTATTTAAAAAAATTGTTTTCCCACACTGTCTTGTGATTAGCATCAGATGGAGTTAACCGCATAGTCTCGAAGAGCATCTAATTCTCGCGCAGTAACCTGCATCCGAAATCCGAAAGAGTTCTAATGGCAACCTAAAAATGCTGTGTTTGGAGTATCCATGATCGAGCAACCCTTGAAAAATGTTTCATAGGCTAAAGATAATTAAATGTACTCAAATTGAATACTTCAGGCGTACAAATACGTTGTGTCTCACGAGATTTTCACAACACATTACTGGTAAAACATTTTCCCCTCCGCAACAGGTTTATCCAACTCATCTCGGGAACAATTATCTCACTAAGATCACGCTGGAAGCATGTTTTTTGCTTTCATCAATCCATATGATGCTTCTCTTCCTTCAGCTATGCGTAATTGCATTTGTTGAACAGATTATCTTGGTATATGCTATACGAGCCTTGTTTAGTGATGTCTACTAATCTGAATACAACGCCATATCAAGTTTTCTACCAAATCATTCCGAACTACTCGAAGACTTACCTCAGTGTTGCCAACTCGCCAGCGTCATTCAATCTCACCAAACTACGTACGGATCCGTAGTTAAAGCGCTCCAGGTGATGGATTTCTTCCACATCCAAACTCAGAATCTCATAACCAAAATGGAGAACTTTCCTTACGGCGCTGCAGCACACGCAAGGAAACATTCCGTAGTACCAAAAATACTTCTGTCCTGCGTACTCCGCTCGAATCTTTGAAATGCGGGCCTTTGCACTCTTTACTATTCTGTTCTCATTTGTCACGCAAGAGAAGCAGTCCACTATATTAGATATCCTCGTCAGTTAGATGAAACCTTGTCTTGTAGCACCACTTGGCATTTTAAAGGTGCCAAGTACATTCTGCATTTGTTGACCTTTTAAGTTAGCTCTGCCTGTCCTCAATAAATTGGAAAAGAAAGCGGTGTGGTTGGCGTATTCTTAACCGTACTGCTTTGCCAACATTTTCGACCATTTACGGCATTGACAGAACAACACGAGTAGCGAACAAGCTCGTTTTCGATAACTTCATCCTCTGGCTAATACAGTTACATACATTTAGTTAATAAACCCATGACCCGTTGACCTAAGTGTGTGTGACCTCTCCCTTCCTGTTTCATCCCTCTTCCCCTTCCTCTCCTTTCTCTGTTTTCACGATTCCCCATTCTAAAACCACGGATCAACAATTTTTTGGTTTTCACCTCTTTCCGAACCACTTTTCACCACTCCCTTGCCGTCCAATCAACGCATTTTCGTTCCGACATTATTTGTTGCACGTTTATTCACTAAATGTATATAACTGTATTAGCCAGAGGATGAAGTTATCGAAAACGAGCTTGTTCGCTACTCGTGTTGTTCTGTCAATGTCACAATGGGAATTTTCAGTGTTTTACGGCATTCTCCGATATTTTTTACACGACTAAATTTAACTGCAATGACAACATAGAAATACACTGCTTTGAACTCCCACGGAAGGCGTGTGTGTAACCATCGTACCAACCAGATCGAACAGGAGCTTACCACCATTTCCAATTCGTTTCTTTTTCACGTGTCATCTTCTGTGATGGTCAGCCAGTTACTTGGGCTCAACAGCAACGAACAGAGGCAGTTGACTATCTGTTACATTCATACAGGTTTGAACAATCTTGCCACAAACTATTATTGACTGTTTCCGGTCTTTACCGTTTGATCTTCCCAGTATGATTGAACGTGCGGCCCCTAAGAGCACCCATCCTATGTGTCTCTTTGGGTAACAGAGGTGCACATACCATCATAACATGTCTTATGGTAATTGGAATGGACTAACCAAACAGTTTTGCTAGTGGATGCGGTCAAATTTCAACTTGGATCCTCAGGGATTGCGTTCAACTGAGGTGTTTTTGCTTCTAAGCGAAGCAGATTCTCTGGAAATGGAATATTTTGTCTCACTTTCCATCCTCGAATCCTGAGGTTCTTACATGGGTAGTCATCATTAAGAATATCCGTGTAAATAACTTTACTGTGGGGTTTTCTTTTTGTATTTGTATGGACTTTTGCATGAACAGATGTCCGCATTTCAGTTAAAAATTACATGTCTCATCAATGGAAGGAACAATGCAAGTAAAATATTTAACCTCCAAGGTTACTGAGACATTCTGAAGAAACGTGCTGTTCGTTCACTAGGATTCTGACGAGATAGGGAACTGGGGAATTATTGTATAGGTTAATGCGAGAGGGTTATAATCGATTGTAGAACGCGTGGATGTATGAGAGCAGCATTTGGATAGATTGCCATGTAAAGGATGATCGGGGTTAGAGAGAATTTTCTGTGAAAGTAAAGTTCACACGTTTTTTAGATAGCTCATCAACGGGTATAAAAGACACACGACTGATGATCGATAAACCTCGGCGAAGAATTTTGAAGTCTTTCTTGAGTAGACCAGAAAAAACCACCGGGGAACAATAAAGAACAACGAAAAAAATACATGGATAAACAAAAGAGAAATGATTTTTTCCTTGAACTGCCTTGAACTGTCTTCGAAGCTGAAAAGATAATATGCGAAGTTTCTGTACGGAGTTGCAAATATGGAATGCCCAGTTTAAGTTGGTGTCAATTGCAACTCCTAAATACTTCACGGAATCTACTATAATTAGGGGATCTGTGTTTATAACAGAGAGGGATAACTAGATCGAGAGAGGGACAAAGTGCAAATTGCATTCTAAGCAGTTGGATAAATTAAGAGGAACGGGAAATTCGTGGACATGCGATAGACTATTCGAGAAATTTATAAGACCTCAGTCACAGAAATGGTTTGGCAGACTGCTACGTCATCAGCATATTTAAGTAATCGGGCTAGAAAGCTCACTGATGCAGGTGGAAAACCAGATCGAAGACAATACGGCACCCTGTAGCACTCCCGAGTTGTTCACGAGTGGTTTAGNNCCGAGCCGAATATGCTGAGTTCTGTTTGTGAAGTAGTCAGCGAGCCACGCCAGTAGGTGCTTAGGATAACCAAATGGTTCCAGTTTACGAAGGAAGAAGGCAGAGTCAAAAGCCGATAAAAAATATAAGAAAACACATCACAGATTTCGCTGATGCGTCTAAAGATTTGGTAGCGTGATGAACCAGGGAGGCAACAACATCCAAAGTGGACCTGTCTGATTTATACGCAAACTCAAGAGGGTCTTCGGGGGTACTGAAGGGTTATCTCTTTCAAATCCGGCACCGTACTACGGCGGCAAAAGTATTCCTTACGGGATACTGTGTTTGCAGCCTTTATTTCATTTACATCGAATTATGCGTGGATGCGTGGTATTAGGAATCAGAGCATGTTCAATAATGTCCAAAAACATATCAATCACTTCATCATCCTTAGTGTTCGATTGAAGTTGTTTACGAACTGGACCAAATGAATACGTTTTTGATCGGACTACCTCATTGCAATTTCCATTTTTCACATATAGTCTACGTAGTAATGGCCTGAGTTCCACATTATTTTGATTCCAAAATCCCGGCTAGTCACATTAGTTTCATTTTGAATGTCCTTTATTACTGTCTGCTACCCCATCGGCTGTAGCTGATATTATCTCTACCTATGTGGATTCATAAGAGACCACCTATGGTGATTTCGCCTGCTTATGCATTGCTCTCCTCTGTATTGCTTCCCACACAGAGTGCTCAATTTCCTCATCAAATGGGTTAAAAATAATCCATTTTATCGATTGGACATCCAGAACAATCAGGCGGTGCGCAAACGTCTTTCTGAATTCCTCGACTCTGTAGACGCGAGAAATTTGTCCGACAATGTGGCCAATATTCGCAAATCGCTACGTGGTGATCGAGTACGCTTGATCCAAACGCTAAAGCAACTACCTCCAGAATCGTTGGATTTGGGTCTGGTCTCTAGACCGGAAGATGTGCGAGTTACAAACGTACGTTTTTTCGGATACCTTTCTTTCCACCATCAAATTACATTTTGATTTAAATCTGGAGGTAACTTTTGGACTTTGAATCGTTGGTTAGCTCGCGAAATGCACGTACCATGTTTTTCACTTGTTTTCTTGTTGAATATTCATACAGTCAATGCCTACAACACCCTTTGATCCTCCGTAAGACAATACTGCGCACTCGTTCCAATGATTTTGGTGGTTTCACTTTGCCATTTTGCTTTTGCTTCCATACTCGTGTAATTTTACACTGTGAAGTTTCACATCAGTTTCGTTATGTTATCTAAACTCCATGACCTATTTTCTGTGATGGCAAGCTGATCAATCAAATTACTGAATTATGTGAACAAGGTTGTTGTAGTACTGAACCATACAGGCACTTGATGCCTTAACTCCATCCAGTAGTGCATCACTTGGTGGGTTTATTGCTCACCTTTCTTTCATTCTCTTTTGGCCGATATTCTGTTCTATGCAGTAGCTTTTCTCCACCTCTTTTTTGTACTGTACAAAAATCGCGAACTATGTGTTTATTTCCGATATTTCCAGTTAACGATCACTTGCATCAGTGTTTGTTCTACTGAAAAAAACTGGTAACTATGTGCCGTGAGCAAACGGCGCCAACACATGCGAGAACTGTCATTCCTGTTTTATCTAATCCTGCTGGACAGGGAACGAGTTAAGAACAGTGGTGTATTCCTTTACCAAATGGCAGTTCGTCTTCGACCAGAAAGTTGTTTTTCGGTCCTTTTTGTCCTCTCGTTAACATTTCAAAACCTAGGGTTCGCCTGCGTTTTACTACTTCGCTTAGGATTACGATTTTTAGGTTACGAGGAGATTTCCCGGTCAACCTTTTAGGCGCACCAACCTCGGCATCACTATCTCATGCGTTGAATCAATTTCGTTTCGTCCAAAATTGATCTCGCTGTGCTTCCCCATAGCATTCATTTTCATCGTAGTTCTGGAGTGATTCGCAGTGTATGATGGAAGCTTTTTTCGGACTCCTTTCGTTATATCTTATACGCCTGAACTACATCTTTGCTACTTTACACCCTGATCATGTTGAAACAGAAAAAGTCAGGTCATCCATAATAGTGCGAATATTGTCTGCCGGATGAATTTCAGCTTCGTTTTCGTCCCCCGTTCACCCTCCCTCTTCCACCGAAGTAACGACCAAAACCGTCGCACGAAATGCATGGTTAACGGTTGTACAAACTGAAATTCCCCTTTCCGCACATCTTTATTCACTCGGTCCTGTCTGGCGACTTTCATGTGGTATTCTCCTGACCTTGTCAACAGTGTTTACTATAGGTGATCACCTCTGTTCCCTAAATTAATCCGTCTCGATCACGTTCTGTTTGGTTTCCCTTCATCCTATCTCTAAGTGTTCATAACCAGTTGATCAGTAACTTTGGTCGTGCCGTGCTAAAATTCCATTTGAAATCCTAAATCAACCGCGAATTTTTACTGATGTTGCACATACGTGCACGTAGCATTGTAGCACTGTCCTGAGGTCCCTTCAACTAAACATGTGTTTTCGTTTTCGACCGTCTAAAGTATAGCATTGAACTATAGTGAATCGCATCACATCAGGTGTACTGTTTTCGCGATGTTGATACATGTACGCGGTCGATATGGTTTTGTTTTCCACACACATTGTTGTTGGATTTAGGTGCATCCACTTGAACTGGCTCGTCAAATCACACTTTACGAATGGGAACTTTATTCGCGTATCGAATTTTGGGAAGTGAATGGGAAAGAGAAAATCAAAGCGCCCAATTTGCAGGCCTCAATGAACTTTTCGAACAAAGTGAGTTGTAATCGTTAGCCATACGATGCTTATGTTTGCGAATCACCTCTGCACCCTATCCATTGCAATTAAGACCGTAGGATTCATTCAAATCAAAAAGACTCAATCATTCTCTTCGTGTTCTGCCGAGAGAAGAAATATTTTCTGCGGTTTACTCCCCTTGGTAGAATCTAATTCTATCCTTTCCCACTTTCCGGGTCGGTCTCATTGATGTGAAATCTTTGTCGAAGCTGCCGAGGTTCCTGATGGATATCCTAGGATTTTGCGCACGTTTGCCACTGGAACACTGTCGCCCGACCTTTTGTTTTCGATCGTTGAGAATAACGCAGTTACAAAGAATATGTGAAACAAAATTTTTTGGCTTTTGGGGTACTGATATTGAATGTTTCTGAGTGTGTGATTGTGTCCGCGGTTCTGTTTATGCGTCCGCACATACACATGTATTTCATGATGTGGTATTGGTTCCACAATTCGTTGTGTCGTGATTGTCACGTTGGCCATACAACGGAAGAGTTTGGGTTGAAAGCTCCTGTGGACGTGGTTCAAGGGTCAAAAGCCTAACAAAGATAAATAATGACTAACTACTACCATCTTGAGCCGTTTCAGGGGAACCTGAAACTTATTATTCACTTCGATTTACTCAATGGTTACTGTAAGCCGAAGGACTGCACATGGCACCGACCGGAACTACCTCATTCCAGTCAGCACGAGTGTTGTCCCCTCACATGGATGATTTTGTACGACTGATGCAGACTTCATCGTAAACTTATTTGAACCGATCGCTATCGGTATTTTATTAACTATGAATGTGTTTATTTTCGGTGAAACTTTGGAAGAATGAATCGATGTTGTGGCATTAAGTGTTGCTCTTACCAATTCACCAAGGCCTCCCAAGGGTCACTGATTTAACGTCATTCTTCTAGTGTATGAATACGACGTGCTACTAAGTGAAGATCCAGGCAAGTTGCAAGCCTTTCTAAATAGTTTGAGTGCCAGCGTAACCTTGTTCGGTATGCGTTTTACACCTTCAAAGTGTTAATACCTTTTCTGCGGACTGCCTTCCCGTGTTAAACCTGGCGACAAGAGACGCGCGAAGTCCCGGTTCCAATGTAGTGAAAACCGAAACTGTCTCGTGATACGGTACTATTAATACGAGTTAATTAATGACGTGATAAATAATATACTGACCCTGATTCGTTAGGTATCCGGAGTAGTACGGTCGTCAAGGCACTTCCAGATATGAGTGCATCAAATAAAAATATGACAACGCTTGACTGTGTCGAAATACACCTTACAAGCAAGGTGCTTCAAAAAAGGACAGCTCACCGCTGTGTGAAATTGATCAAAGTATACGGAGTCAAGTAAGGTAAGTCCAGTCAGGCAGTGACATGAAGCTCCCAAAAGATGAGCCAATCATAAGAGAGTTGGGCGCACACAATTCGACCTCTCAATAAACATCGACAGGCGTGCGTGCATGAATGTGTGTGTGTGTGTGTGTGTACATGAACAGGTGACTGTCGAGGAGCCCTCAAAACAGGTCACATGTGCGTAGGCGGTTAAATAATCGATAAATGATAAGCGGTGAACCGGTACAGAACAAGGGTAGACGGAACATAGATCAACCAATAGTAAGGGACAATGGAGGTCACACGAGGACCCGTGTAGTTGAAGTCATGCGAGTGATCGGTGTGCGTGTGTCATTGAGGTGTCCGAGACTGGGAGAACTACGCACTCGCTTGATCATGTAAGCATTCGATAACCAGAACGAAACGAATGTCAGCGGAACAAATAGGAAGCGATAGAGTGGGCAATGAGTCGGAAGAACAAAATGATTCCGAGGAAAAGGATCAACACAAAGTAAAAATATGTTGCAACAAAACTAGGTTGTTCTTGCTTGCAACATCTCTGAAGAAGTAATGGAGGAAGTAGACAATGTCTGCGATTGAGACAGTCACATTTCATTCGGCGGACGCATTACAGATGAAGTTTTAGCTAGCATTCAGAAGGCTCGGTTGGCATTTGCCAACTTGAGACATCTGTGGCTTCGTCACGACATACAGCTGTCTGTGAATGGTCGAGCGTTTGCTGTAGCATTCCGGCCAGTTCTGCTATACAGCGCAGAAACTTGACAAATACAAAAACAGAATAAAGATAACCTATTGGTGTTCGATTTGAACAGTACACTCTTCCTTTATCTCCTTCCGAATGAGGCATCAACCAAAACTGGTGCATACTGCGGAATCTCAACTTTCATTAAATGCTTTATCATTGCAACGAAGTAAATTGCAATACATTAAAAAAGCATACGTAAAAGCGGGTAAAGGAGAACCATGTCACCTGGGTAAGACACGCCAGGATAAACTTCCCTCTGGTGACATCGGAGGGAGTTGCCATGGTTAAAAAGCAATCGCTTCAGCAAACCTTATAATTCTTGTAATTTGACTTGTGGATAATCCGGAAACCCGTGCTTCGGATGGCCTGGTGTTGCATCATCAAAAGGTGTCGAGCTATGGCCAGTGACGGGGTCTTGCATTATCGACCGTCCTTTCTATACGGCGAACTTTACCTCCAATAGGTCGTCTGATTTCGGATCAAATGAGGAAGTTGTAAACCACTCGGTTACGTAATCGTCGCTCTGTTCTGCCTATATGGGTCCCTCCGTACTCTGTATTGTAATTAAACCAAAATTAAAATTTCAGACGCCCATTTTACCGGGAATGTGGGTATTTTGATTGTCCAAAAGACGATTTAGAGTTCAGCTGCCTACTGGGGTTCTGGTGATTGCTAACCTGTCTCCTTTCCGATCGAACCGCTTACGTCATCATCTCTGAACTGGTTTCGCGGCATGACCCGTAATTTTGGAGCTGATGCAACCGCTCATTTCATAATTATCGGTTCGCTGTACTTTTTAACTCATTATTTTTATTGCCAACTGTAGGCTGTGAGCTGTTGAACCTAATCACTCGGTTTGTGTGATGAATATTGTTCACCGATCGCACGTTAATGTCTGATTTGTTCATGCAGAGTGTGATATTTCAAACTTTGTATTGTGAGTAGATGTTGGTTTATTGTTCACCAATCCTCAGTACGCTGTATAATGTGGCCGGACTCTCATTGATTCTCTGGTTTTGGTTATGATTATTCTACTACCTGTTTGTGGTGCACAGTGTCCTTTTTCTTTTTTTATTCTAGATCAAATGGTGGCTGGTCTACTCCATCATGACTGCTGAGCACCTCGATGACCGGATTATAATCATGCAAAGGATCGCAGATCTGATGGTGCTCTTCGAACAATTGAACAACCTCCAAGGGGCTCAAGAAGCTAAAGCTGCTTTACTCAGTTCTCCGGTCTTCAGACTGTATAATACCTATGATGTGAGTTTTCTCTTTTCGTTAGTGCTCCGTTGGTTTAATTTGTGTGAGCGAACCCCCGACAAAAGTTGTCGGGTTTGTAGTGCGATTATTTGTATTTGCGGACAGTCTCCTAATCATTTTATTTTTGAAAGTTGCAGTTCTGAAACGGACCCACATTCGCAAGTAAAACAAACACACATGAAGCGAAGTCCGATGGCAAATGCGCAGTCATTCACGTTGAATCATTCACCACCCTATTTGTTCACTGGATTTTCATCATCGTCAGTCGCTCTACCCTTTTTCCCAAGAGTGACTCATGCTCACAACGTTTTCCACTGCACCTGACGATTGTCTGAACCGTACTTAAGCTGTATATCCTCTCCCACCTTGATAGCCTAATCCCAACCTCGCTCAGGTTTCCAGCTGGGTTAGAGTACGCTGCAATTTCGCTTTCGGTCTATCCTGTTCGATGTTATACGTACGCGACCGATGAGAGTAAACGAAAGGAATTCCTCTCGCTGTTTTTTCTGGCTTGCCTGTTCAATTTCCGTCTTTTAATAAAGCGTATTTTCAACCAATGAGGAAGACATTATGCGGAAGGGAAAGGAATTTGAAAAACTGTACTCAAGATGGTCTTATTCAAGAAAGTCGCTGTGTACGTAACTATATCGTGAACTTTGGCCAACCATCCATTGAACCGGTTCACGCAATCACACAGCCGAAAACCTTCATTGTCCGTCGGATCTCAGTATTGCTCATCAAGTTTTAACTCAAGGTGATGGTCTGAACACTTAACTTCTCTTCAATAAGTTTTGTGAATTCTATCGTGTATACTTAGAACTAGCTTGTTTAAAATGTCCTGTATGTTCCACGGTACCTTTTGGATCAACGTAAAGGCTGCTGGATCAAGTCCCTTCCAATATTGAGATTTATTCAAATTCAATAGAAAATTCGATTTTGCTGTATCGCTTAGAGATGCGCTTTCGTTGGATTTGATTCTGCTCACTCGAAGACAACACACTTTTCCACTTTCCGTACACCACAAAGGTCCTTGTCACTAAATCAAAACCTCACCATCGCGCCATATTTGAATCGTTACGACGCTCAGTTGAGGCAGACGATGGAGATGCGTATGTGGAGGACTATGAGAAGAAGCTGCATGAAGTCAATCCTCCAGGATTGCCATTTATTGCTGTTGGAGGTAAAACGCAACTCATTCACCTGGAACTCAAACATCCTGATTGGATTACGGTTCCGAATAGCACCGTAACTCAGCCCTTGGTTAGCTCTAATTCTTCTGGAGATGAGCCAACCACTGCTCCAGCCACCGTCCGTTTGATCAACTTCTGGAAATGTCATCAGATTGCTGATCTCGTGGAATACTATCTCTCGTTTCAACAAACACCGTACAACTTTGTTGTAAACGAACATATCCGGGTGAGTTTTTGTAGTTTTCTTTCACATGCCCTTTAGTTCGTACATTTTGACAACTAAATTACCGAATTAGGGTAATATCTCGCGACCGGATTTATACACGTGTTCGAAAAAAATCCGTTGTTCACGTCATATATGTAATGAAGTTGTATTTCTGTGAAATGGTAAGCTTTCGAACACCCAAAATAGATTGTGGGTACTCCAGTAAATTGATTTTTACCATCCCGGACGCCTTTCGAAATGATCCCTTATCATTAGCACCCACATCCGCTGGTGGGTTTGTTTTCATCAAAGAACGGGAACTGTGTCAAGATCCCTGGGCTCGTATGCAACAGTGGGTGCTCGTGAACAATTCACCGGACAACCGAATGTGAATTGAGGCTGAACGTTGAGATGAATGGTTAGCAGCATGAACCTTCAGGCTAAAAAGAGACGTGAACTCTGCTCGAATTGAGATGGGGTGTTCTCAAATACAATGGAGCGAGTAAATGGCGTAGCGAAACGCGCTGGAACGATATGGTGATCTACAAGACCATAATCATGGTTACGGGCATCTAATAACTGGCTCGCCTTAGGGAGTCAGTAAACCCTGCTTCCAAATCCTGAGGATGGTTACTAATTGCTCTCAAGATGACCGAATAAATCGTCACTTGCTCGTATGGTCGAAAGAGTTTGATTAAGCACCTTAGATGTACGAGCTGTGTGTGACTGACTGAACACTGACCGCGAATGGATCACGAACTCCTGGGCACTGCTTTATGGGTTGGATCTTTCTGTCAGAGGCTCATGGCTAGGTTCCCCGGGCCCGATGAAATCGCATAAAGATTTTTGGTGTGCATCTCAACCAATGTGTCCGCCAGTTAGATACAATTTGCACGTTATATTTAGATATAGGCTTTTTAACTGGCACAATTAACTTCCATTTGCCATATTGTTCTGGTAAGATTTGTATATCGAAAGGATTGACCGATGTACTCTACCTTCTTATCGGAGCTCTGACTTATTGTGCATTTCGGATTGCTGAGATTTCATTGGGCTACGTTTTTCGTAATATTTCCATCAATAAATTGGAGTCCTTCAAGAAGCTGAATCGAAGTTGTGAATCTTCACTCAGTCTAGGTTATACCTTCAGTATAATTGTCCACCCTATCATTCTGGTCAGAAAGACGATTTCTTCCAATAAAGTTTGTTCATTACTACATGCTACATTTATATACTTGTTTTTTTTTCACACACATCTCTATGATGAAAAAGGGTAGCTATTGTACAACCCTGTATGTTCTTTTTGGGGTGACCCTCTGAAAAGTGAACACTTCCACGGGGTGAAACACGTTTCATCCAGGGAGTTGGTCATGGAGTAATTTAATCGGACAAGACATTGTGAGAAGCTATGAGGTTTATTTGAAATCATTTCAAGTAGTTTACTACAAGAAAATTAGATCTGTATATGAAGAATGATTAGTAAAATTATCAAAATCCCTGAATATATGGATAGTCAATACAGGCTGTGTCACAGCGGAAATGAAACTTCTGGTCAGCACGTAGTGGCACTTGCTTTAACCCATCAGGCCACCGATGTTTTACTTTCTTGGCAACCGGTATCCTCTAGCATTGCAATAGCACGATTCAGAACCTCACAATAATCACCATCTAAACCCCATCTCTCTCATCTGATAACAACTTCAGGGATTAATTCTACAGAAGCCTTCAATTGCTTGTTAAGGAACTATCCAAACGGGATGTGTTTGCCGTTGCCGGGAACTGAAGCGCTCGAAGTGGCTCACAAGAAGAGTCCATGAAGCACATCCTAGGGGATTTAGGCTTGGGCAACCGCTACAACAATGGTGGCACATTTTTCAGCTTCGCCGGTTATAATCGGCTATCTATTACCGACACGCACCTCCGTCGAGCTCATTTTTGATGCGGNGCCGTGCTCCGCCATCCGTAGAAGTCTCAGATGCCATCAACGATATGAAGCCGTGGTAACCTCTCGGCGAGGACGGAATACCCGTGAAAATCTACGCAGTTCCCATTCATTTAAAACCCTCTGTTAAGCTACTGTGAGCAATCTGGGGAAATCAAACTTGCCCAACATCGGTTCCCTAAATAAGAGAACAAATCGTGCGAAGCCGGCTTATCCCCTCCCAGGACTCAGTCAAGCAAAGTCAGTATTAATTAGTAGTCGGAATTATTAAATATGATACTGCACAAAAGTTTGTTATTCAACGCGCTCCTGCGTTGTTAGAGTTCGTATCGTGCACATTGGTCACGGGATTGTCGCTCCCTAGCAGTTCTAAATTCTATTCGCCCTTTTCCACTCATCATTGCTTTTCCCTCCTGGTGTTTGTCAAATCATTATGCATCTTCGTACCAGAGAAAATACTACCTTCACGAACCATTCGTTTCCCGAATTCTGCCCTTTCGAAACAGAACTTCTTGCTAACATTTGATCCACTAAAAACAGCCGGTGTTTCCGATGAACATTCCTTTGATGATCTGATGCACGAAAAGTCACTACACATACAACCTAAACCGCCAGGAGAACCAATTGTGGTCACGGTGAGTTGACTTTCTCTTGTTTCTTTCTACTGGTGTTCGGCGTGTTCCTTTAACCAAGCAAAAATTGTCATCTATCAAACTTTAGGAACGACGGCTGACCCCGGTCGAACAGCGCATCGCCTCTTCTTTGAATAACACTAACTTGGATTGCCATATGACTGCCGATTCCAAGGAGTTTCGTAATTTGGTGCATCAAGTGTCTCTGGCTATGACCTCATCAACTACAACCGTGTCTAGTGCGGAAAGCGCAAATACATCCGGGCGATCATCTACATTATCCGAACTAGCGGAGGCACACTCCAGATACCAGAACCAATCGATAGACAGTCCGGCGAAATCACAAGACTCACCATCGCAATCTTTAGGAACCAATAGCTTGGGTCGTGGTCGCCCGCGTACGGATGACCTCAAATCGCGTGGCTCTGCCCAGCATTACTGTTTGGCTAATCGCCTACAATCAGGCAACAGATTGAATGGTGAGCACCGTATTGTTGATCTGCAAACCATTATACAAGTGGTATCTGTTTTCCGAGAACCTTCCTTTTGTAATATTTTTCACTGCTTGATACAAATTTCCATTTGTGAAGCTTCATGGTAAGTTGACCTGACTTCTCAACCCGACACGTTTTTTAACGGTGGGTGCATTTGTTTTATTCCCGAGATCCTAGCTACCTGAAAACAAAATTGTCTGAGTATACCGTTCTTATTTTAATCAATCACTGCGTCATCTTAAAAACAACGCGGAATCGTACAATGTCTTTTCGAAATAAAAATGTTCCGACGTTTCACAAAACGCACCCCGATTCGAACCATGATCCAGTACGATCCGGGTACGTGTTTCGGTAAACGAATCAGTTCGTACCAGACTCCTTTCGAAATGCTCCTTAGGTGTTTACCTTTGCATCCGCTGTCAGAGAAGTCCTACTCGTTGCCTCCCTTTGGAGTTCGTTTTTCACTGAACTAAGGGTGGGAGGGACCGATATTTCAACTTGTAACCGGCTTGATGAGCCACGAGTTCGTTTAGGGAAGCTGTTTATTCACTTTGGAACATGTTGAACTTATTATTGGTGTTCGAAAAGCGTATGTTCTGACCGACTATTCATCAGCTCATAGTGGATGGCGGTTTCCTCACACCGCCTTATCACCCTGAGCATCTGTGATTAGCGAAGTGCTTAGGTGCACGTAACTGAGGGAAAGATACCTGATTATTTTCGGATAACCTAACAATCTTTCCATTCACCCGCCATCCTTTCTGTTCCGGATTCAGCAATGAGTTATGGTTTCGGTTCGCTCACCATAGGACTAACTCAGCACTCACACCGGATGTCTGATGTTTTGATCCGACGACTTCGAATCACGGTCCTCCGTAGATTCCTACTTAGTAGTTTGTGCCATCGAATCGCTCGTAGTAAACCAGAAGTTCTCTGAGCTATTTGCTCTTAAGATGATATAAGGCACCTGAATGAACAAAACAACCGTCTACCCTTTTCCGAAAATTCTACCTTCGAGAAGTTTAGGATAGAAGAAATTTCTTCGGATCAGCCATCTACCACCTTTGCATAAACCCCCCGAAAGCCTCAGTATAGTTGGGGTGGATGCCTTGTGTTACGGCTGGTCACCCTTCCGTTAGATCTCGCGAAACGCCCCCATACTATCGAGCCTCTCAGATAGCCTCTGCTGATGAAGCCGTACTCACTGCTTTCACGCAACGGAGGGGTGTTCCCACCAAAGTAAGAGGATGAAAAGCCGTCATCCGACTTGGTGGACCACAAACAAACCTTGGTTTTGCCAATGGTCACCGACTCATTTGGGCATCGAGGTGTATTGAGCACTTTGGGAGTTGGACATTGTCCAAAGGGTGTATGATCCGATGAACTGGACACAAACTCCTAATGGATTACGGTTTTCCCACTGCGCCCCGCTGTCTTGCGAGTCAGGCTCGAGCTAGTCAAAGGCCCCGGTTGTGAACTCCCTAAGAATATTCACCTGACAGTATTCCGCCCACCAACAAGTCATGAACTTTTTTCTTTTTAGAGAGATCATTGTACCGTGATTTGTTCTGCTCGAAGTTCGAACCATCCTAATATTCCTGAGGATTCACAACCGTAGCCATCGATTGTCAAAGGTCTGACCCCCAAGGTGA